GCGGCATTTGAATGAGGAATTACTAATAAATCTAATACAGAATTTCCCAATTCTTTGAATACGTAAACATCAGACATGTCGTGAATTTGGGAGATTTTGTACCAGTATTTATCGATTGATTATTTTATCACTGAAATTTGGTTCTGACTGGCAATACATCCGCCACTGATCATCAATTTTTTGTATTTGTTCAATATCTTGAGGATCTACAATTCTGGGTAGTAACTTAATTAATGGAAAAAGCGATGCTGGTTTTGGTTTAGAATACCCTTTTTCAAATACTGATGTTTTTGACAAAATATTTTCATTAAAATCAAACCGTTTTTTCATTTCATTTGTAGAAGTTATTAAAAATTGAGGGCACCGCATGTAGAAATATTTTTCCTTTTGGCTTAATTTATCAATGTTCTGAAGTACGCGAACAAAAATGTATATCTGTTTCAAGTCAATGAACTGACTAGCATTGTTGGGATCGATTTTACCTATTTCGGTTTTATGAATATAATTTGGTTGTAAATAGCTTAAACAAATTTCTTTATAAGTTTCACAAACTACATCATAAACGTGTGCAATTACATGACACGCTCACTTTGAAAGTATTCATTTAATTTTACAAATGAAGAAAAAAGAAAAAAGTTTTGTTTCCATATCATTAAGTCTATTGGCAACAACTTCTGAATCTTGCAGTCTATGTTCGGTCCATTCTTTAACAAATATAATTGAAGGGGATTCCATTGCTCAATTATCCTTCTTTCCACTACCATAAGTAATGAAAGCCACCTAGTTTGCGAAGGACGTAAAATTTTGTGAGACTCCACATTACAAAATGTCTGAAATTCTGTAAATTGTGCTTGCCGTTTGGAGCTATTTTTAAAGTAACCAAAAATATTCCTGGCTAAATCTTCACAATGACGGGGCAAAACTTTACAAGCCTCTCTGGAACAAAGATGTAAAGAGTGGCAGATGCATTTTTGAACTATAATGCCAGGAAGATTTAGTTTTAACCTACTTACTACTGAGTTATTGGCACCAAACATAGTGTTACAACCATCAGAACCAAATCCTATAATATTTTGGAAAGGTATATTGTTAGACTCAAATAAATCCATAATTTTTTTATAACGAACTTCTGCAGTGGCCCCTGTATTTGCTTAATCTGGATTTTGATTTGAAAAACATTGAACCAAATTTAAAAATTTTGTAGTTACCTCAATTGTTTTTTCACTAAAGTACCTAACACATACACATATATTTTTTACTACACCTATGTCTGTAGATTCATCTACTAAAATGCTAAACTTTTTTGCTTTTAGTTCATTGATTAGTTCTTCAAAATGAGATTTGGCTAAAACATGTTTTATAACACCTGTTGCTTTGGTTCTGCCCATCTGCATTCCTTGGGCAATTTTCGAGTCAGGAAATAAGTCTTTTAATAAAGGAATCAGATGATCACACAGCTTGATGGGTAGATTATGCTCTGATATTAATGCAGCAATTTTTATTTCTGCCCTACTCACTTGAGCTTCGTTTTTATTAGAAAACATAGTAGAAATTTTTGGTTGATTTTTCACAATCACCTTTACATTTTTTAAATGTTTAGCTCCCTTACTGTGATTTTTCAATACAGTTAAATCTGCTTCAATTTCACTATCACAAGCAATACATTTTGCTCGAGTGGGTTTTTCTAAAAACAAAAATGCATATCATTAAAAGTATGAAATGGTTTTATGTTATTTTTTCTACCTTTAACAGCTTCCAACCATCCTTTGAAATGAGGATTGCTTTCCCATTCACATCTATATTTTTGTGGTCTATTTTCTCGTCTGTTTACGTTTTTAAACTTTAATCTTTTTGCCTCCCTTTCTGAATCCGAAGAATCGGAGTAATCATGATGATCCCCTTTGCTGGTACTGGCCATTTTATTTCACTATTTGATCACATAAACACACATTAATAAGGACTCATTCGATCAACTACTCTTGCTCGTATTGAAAAAGAAACAATGAGGATTAGGGTATTCCCCTGCGTAGGCTCAAATTCACCGAGACTCGAGTTCCGTAATATTTACATAGATGGCGGTAGGCTTGATTTTTATTCTAATTCCATAATAACCATGCTATTAACTGAAAGAGGTCAGCACTAATAATTATTATCCTTTTTGTTACGTTGCTTAGGTTGCATACAATTAGAACCAATAATTTTGAAAACATAGTTATAGGCTGGGAGATGGAAAAATAATATGTTACAATTATCGATTATGTTACATCTTTTTATTTACTGTATATTTCAGTAGAAAATATGGTACAATTTGATAATTATGGTTACTATTATGATGTTAAGAAAGATGAGGAATTGGTCGGGATGTATTTTATATTCCATTTTATTGCAAAATACAGACAAATCCACACTATTCAACAGGTATGTAGCTATAATGATAACATATAAACACTCAGTATATTGAACTTGACAAATTCGAGATTGCTAAACGTCCAAACCTTCTGTAAAATTTAACAGCTGGAAAATCGACCTATTATTTGCCGCATTCCCATTGGCTAAAGAGATAATCGACCTACTTTTGTAAAGTGATAAGAACTATAAATAGTAAAATACAAGAAAGTTGTCCTGATTTTTCTGTAAAGAAGCATCATGTTCGAATCAAAAAGTGATCTTGTTTATAATTTAATTGCTTTTTCACGATTTTATTCGATATCTCAATAGAAATCACCGATATTCAGAGAGCTTTGACAGCTTCCGTCAAATTGCATTTCAATAAGATCTTTTCCTATTGGTCCCAACTGATTAACGATAGCGAAATTGGCACTTAAGCTGTTGTACAAATCGGGGATTTAATTAAAACATTTTAGTGTTCGTTCGTGAATAATTTTACTTTTGTTGCTACATGATGCTGTTGATAGTAGTTTTTAGCGTACGTAAAAGATATCAAAGAAATAAAGCATCCCGCAAACCGGCGCGAAATAATCGCGGCGAAGTATTCGCAACGAAATTCGCAATCTGTTTCACCTGTTTATTCATACCAAAGCGTCTTATTCGCTCCGCGAACGTGAAGGTTTCGACAGGTTGCGTACATTTTATTTTTGCCTTTTGCAATGAGCTCGTCTTCAGAAGAAGAGGAGGCACTTCTATTTCTTGCTTTAGAAGAGGAACAAAATGCACGGTAAGTTATGTTTATTTAACGCCATTTGGTAGTTGGGTATACATTAAGTTTAACGAAGTACATAAAACAAACATTTTCAATTTTGTTTAGGAAACGAAGGAAGTGGGTACATGATATTAACTTGGAACGAAATAAATTTGGGGCATACCATACCTTGATGCCACAACTTCGGCTGGATGAACAGCGCTTTTACGTATATTTTAGAATGACTCCAGAGTGTTTCGATGAAATATTGAACTTGGTGAAAGATGAAATACGAAAATCTGACACAAATTATCGTGAAGCTATTTCGCCAGAAGAACGACTTGCTATTACACTCAGGTAAAAAAATTATATGTATTAAAATTAGTAGGGTTATCGAATACGAAATCTTCAGGGATCGTGAAATAAATATTTTATTGTAATAAAAATTGGACTACATGTTGCCACTAGGATTAAATGTTGCTAAATAATTCGAGGCAGAATTTGCCTCCTCTGTTGGGTATATTATTGGAGTAAACTCAGTGCCGCTTGGGAAGGACGACATACTACTATCATACTTGCAGAATTCTGGGTAGACGCTGAAGACATTTCTTCAATATGTTTCAATTCTTCGTGCGCTATTAATTCGGCTATTTTTAGTTTTATTCGGGCTTGACGCTTTAAGGGAAGTGTTTTCACAGTCTGTGCATGTGCCAAGAAAAGTGAATCAATGGCCTCGTTCTCTTTTTTAGGTTTTTTACCTTCAAAATAATCAATGAGCTGTTGTACAGACGAAGATGGTGGTTCATAGCGTTTTCTGCTCGTTTTATATTTTGGTGTAGTTGCAGTCTGCGGAAAGGTGTGCCCTGGAGTAGTCACTGCTGTAGTGTTTAATGAAGAAGGTGGTGCTGTCTGTGTTGCCGAGGCGTTCTGTGCATCTTCTGCATCTACATCAGCATTTTCATCTTCTCCATGGCCGCGGTCTTCCAAATTTTCCGTTTCTACATTTCCAGCCCTTTCCTGATATATATTTGAGTTAAATTCGGCAGTCTCATAATGTATGACGTCAATATCTTTCACATTAGACGACGTTTTGGCAAATGCCAAAAAAGGACGGAAAAATTCCATGTAGTCAGCCCACTGCCATTTTTTTATGTTGCCCACTGCTTGGTTTGGTAGATTTTATATATTTTGCAAATGTGTCTCTGATATTCTTCCACCTTTTTTTTACTTCATCACCTAAAAACGATTTTTTTATAGATTCCTTGCCACTGGTGACACCTTCTATACCATTGGGCATAGCTTTCGAGTTGGCTTTACAACAGTGAGTGCAATCGTAACCGAAGTCTGTGAAGCGATATGCAGACATATGGAGCATATATATTTACCAGAACCAACAGAGAATATATGGAAAAAATGTGCTGAAGAATTTGAAAATAGATGGGGATTTCCCAATTGCATTGGCAGCGTGGACGGTAAACATGTAACAATCAAGAGACCTAACAACAGTGGCTCCAATTACTGGTGCTATTTACATAAATATTCAATAGTACTTATGGCCATTGTTGGCCCGGACTATAAATTTATATGTGTTGATATTGGTGGTTTCGGAAAAAATAGTGATGGGGGTATTTTCGAAACCTCAAACATGGGAAAACGATTTGAACAAAATTTAATGAGTGTCCCTGCACCTAGATTTCTCCCTGGGCAAAATGAAATCTGCTCGTACGTCTGAATTGGTGATGAAGCATTTGCTTTAACCCTGGAACTGCACACTGGGGTCTGAGAAACCCAGGTATCCCCAATCTTGTAAGTGCTTCGAAGAAACGTAAATAGTTCGGCTGGATAGTTCGGTGTAGTGAGGAGAGACAGTGCGTAGACGTTGGCTGTTATTTGTGCTATCTATCCCGTCCGAATATTGACTAACATCGGTGAATGGGTACGGCAGACCCCAGTGTGTGGTTTACGTTGATAATATTTATTTTGAATTTTATAGCTATGGCAAATTCTGACTGGGAAAATCGTCGTCCCTTAACGCAACGTGAGTTACAAAATGAGGTCGACAATGTGTGGCAAAATGAAGATGAGGCAGATAGTGACGAAGACTTGTTTGGTGAATTATCTGACAGGGACAACAGTCTGATACTGACAATGAACAGAGTGATGATGGTGATGAAGTTGTGTTACAGAATCCTGGTATATCGAGCAGGAACACTGCTAGTATAATGGGCAAAAACGGTCATCGCTGGAGTACCAAAATACCAGAACGCAGAGGCCGCACAACGAGAGACAATATTGTTTTACATATGCCCGGTCCTAAACAACAGGCGAGATTAGTTCGCTCTCCAATAGAAGCATGGGAGTTATTATTTAACCAAGAAATGTTAGATATAATTGTATTAAACACAAATCAAGAAATTGTGCGTAAGTGTTTTGAAAACTTGCCACAAAGTTATAAAAAGCCAACTAACCTTGTAGAGATTAAAGCTTTTATTGGGCTTCTCTATTTAGCAAGGGCCCTTCGACTATCAAATACGAATTTAGATGAATTATGGTCAATAAAGTACGGAAATGGATTATTTCGAGCTACAATGTCTCAACAGAGATATCAGTTTCTAGCTCTCTGTTTACGATTCGATGATAAGAATGGTAGGGCTGCAAGAAAATTAGTAGATAAATTTACATATATCCGACAGCTTTGGGAAATTTTTATTGGAAACTGTAAGTCGTATTACACTCCCTATGAAAATTGCACAGTGGATGAGCAACTTGTCAGTTTTCGGGAAAAATGTCCATTCAGAATATACATGTCTAGTAAACCCGATAAATATGGTATGAAAATAATGATGATGAACGACTCTAAAACTTTTTATATGGTTAATGCAATTCCATATGTGGGAAAAGTTAATGTAGAGAATAATGAGCCAGTACCTACTTATTATGTTTGGAAACTCTCAGAACCAATTCATGGAACCCACCGTAATATAACCATAGACAACTGGTTCACCTCTATACCTCTATGTGAGGAAATGTTCCATCAGTATAAATTAACAATCCTAGGAACACTGCGAAAAAACAAAAGAGAGATACCCACAAGCTTCTTAGGAAGAAAAGCAGTTGGCACGTCCCTTTTTGCTTTTGATCACAACAAAACGCTTGTTTCGTATACGCCTAAGCTTTTACTATCCACTTTGCATCCTGATTCATCCATTAACCCTTATAGCGCCATATGTATCTATCTGATACAAATTGAGTTTACATAATGAGGCCACATGTATAGATTCGATACATATTTGCTTTACAGTGGGAGGCCATATGTATCAGAATGATACAACACTAAAGGGTTGCATTAAAAGCTTCTGTATCATCTCGATACATGGTTTAGCTTACTTTCAATGGTAAAACGACCTTGAATGGCCTCGTACTGTACATCCTTTCTTTGGCGGGCGAAAAATTAAGGAGGGGGAGGATGAAGAAGGTTTTTTCTGAGACTGTGTTGATACTTTTTGACGTGAGGGCTGGTCTACACCTATGTACAATCCCAATTGATGTAAATCATAAAGCATAAACATAAAACCTGAATTTTATGTGCTCTTATGATTATGATGATGTTTTAGGAACGCACTGATAATAAATTCGTATTCAACTCTTATAATAATCGTTGCAACTACGATTGTGATTTCAACAAGCATTGATGTAGACCAGACTTAACGTCAACAAAGCCAGCCACATGGTTTTGGCAAAGAGTATCCAACTAACGATATCCTTTGCTTTGGACATATATGTTTGACAATTCGAATTTAACACTAGGTTTTTCCAAATAACGCGTTTATGTTCTTCCACTGCGGATGCTGTTATCTAGAGACGGGAAATATGGTTATTTTGAAATAACTGTTATGACTGTTGATGCTATTTTTGAATAACTTTTTAAAATAACAGTATAAAATAGCAAACTGCTATTCCGTGGTATCCTGGTTGCCTATGTGCATTGATAAATAACAACCAACCCCTACTGTTATCCGTGCTAATCGTGTTGTCGCATTATTCAGTCAGTTGTGTTCTCGTACGTTTGTGTACTTATGTTATAAATGATGTCGGGTAGAAAAGTATATACAGACGATGAGTTGGTCGCAATTCTTGAAGGAAACGATGACGACGGACGTAGTAGCGGGAGTAGCTGTAAGTATGATTCTTATTTACGTTATTTACGAACGTCAAATATTCATTTTCATAGTAGGTGTACGTTATTGACCGGTAACCTTCAAATTTATCACGCATAATTCATTAGTATGTCCTATTCACCTATTCACATATTCACGCTAGATCTGAGATTTACCTTACGTTACTGTTGTTTTAGTGGAGGATTCATCTGAGGACGATGATGAAGATTATGAAGCCCTTGAAGGTGAAGTCGAGACAAATGGCAATGAAGATGATGACGTACTTGAAGCGGGTGTTCAAGAGGCACAAGGAGAAAGGAGCTGGTCAGAACCATCATGTGATCTTTTCAATTTTGATTGCAACAAGACAAACGCAGTTTCTCAACATTGTTTGATGCTCTTAGAGCACACCGAAAAAACACCGCTAGATTTTTATAATCTCTTTCTTGATGATGAGATTATGGATCTAATTGTCTCCAATACAAACCTCTATGCCACCCAGGAACTTTGTAAGCTCATTGCGCGAGAAGAAATTACTACTGGGAGTAGATATAATGCTTGGACTGATACAAACAGGGAGGAAATGAAAATCTTCATCGCGTTTTTACTATGGATGGGACTAGACCGAAAACCCGAAATTCGCGACTATTGGAAGAAACATATTCTGTACAAAAATGATGTCAGTTGCTATATTAGTAGAAATAGGTTTGAATTATTGTTGGGATTCATCCACTTTGCTGATAATGAAATGGCATCTCCAGACAACAGACTGTACAAAATCGAACATTTACTCCGCTTGCTGAACAACAAATTTTCCATAATGTTTGAACCTGGAGAAAAAATTACCATAGATGAGTCGATGATTCCGTTCAGAGGGCGAATAAAATTTCGCCAATACATTCCAAGTAAGCGCCACAAGTATGGTTTGAAGGTTTACAAAGTGTGTCTGTTGGGTGGATACACTTGGCACGCGAAAGTATACACAGGAAAAGCCTCTTCTGGAAATCTCACTGTTACCACTAGAACTACTATGGAACTGATGGAGCTATTGTTGGACCAAGGGAGAACCCTGTTTACTGATAGCTTTTATACAAGTGTTGAATTGGCAGAAGAACTTTTGAAAAGAAAAACCCATTTACTCGGTACCCTTAGAGTGAATAGAAAACATAACCCACATGGAGTTACCAAAGCAAAACTTAGGCGAGGGGATATGAAATATTTGCAACATAGTGAGAAAAAAATCATTATTGGAAAATGGAAGGACAAAAGAGATGTCCTTTTCTTGACTACAAAACAAGTGCCGCATTTAGTGGAGATTGAAAGCAGAGGAGGAAGAAGAATGCAAAAACCTTCGACCATAGTGGATTACAATTCTGCTAAAGGTTATATAGATTTGTCAGACCAGATGGCAGGTTACTGCAGTCCACTGCGTAAAGGCCTCAAATGGCATAGAAAACTTGCGTTTGATCTCCTAACAAACACCGCAGTTGTAAACAGTCACAGATTGTATACACTGGTGGTAAGGAAAAAAATAACAATTGTCCGGTTTAGGGAGGAAATCGTGACAGCAATATTGGAAAATCTAAGAACCTTAGATGAGCAGGCACTGCTGACTCCCCAACAACTACATCATAAACACCGATTGACTGAAAATCGCCCAAAAAGAGGACGTTGCGTGGTTTGCTACGACAAGTTCCAAAAGCAATTCGACTCAAAGAAGGCCACAACACTCAGCAAACATGTGTTTCATGCACACATAAGTTTATGTGCATTGATTGTTTTTTTCTAACACACAACTGTGTGCCAAGCAAACGATAATTTCATTCTATTTTCTGTTTTCCACAATTTTTGTTCTTTGTAAATATATTGTATAAATATCACTGAAGTTGTCTTTTTATCATTTTTCCCCAATTAGTTTGAAATTTCCATAAGATGTATACGAATGGAAATATGTATCGAATGTACACACGTGGCGTGGGGTTGAGAAAATTCGAGAGTCACACCACGAGGCCACATGTATAGATTTGATACATTTGCCATTTTGGCAAAATTTGCTCTTCACATGGGCTAATACTTATTCAACATCATCCGTATATACTTTATCTGAATAAAGAAATTAAAAAACACTTCTGGCCTGGGGGTGTGACCTACTGAAAAAAGGCTGGCCTCAACGGGTAGACAGGTTTTTTTCGCTTGGCGCTATGATCCTGGAAAGCCAAACCTAATACATTCATATAATGAAATGAAGGGAGGAACGGATAGTTTTGACCAGTTATGTCATTCTTACACGACATCACGCAAAACTAGAAGGTGGCCCGTGAGAATATTTTTCAATATGTTGGATGCCAGTGGAATTAATGCTATGATTATATTCTCTTGTGAATCCAGATTGGAAAGAAAATACTAAAGATAATCGTAAAACGTTTCTCAAAGAACTAAGTAATTCATTAATTGAGCCACATTTACGAGAACGGGCACAAGTGACCACGCTGCGATCATATCTTCGGCTTAGCATTAGTGTAATTCTAGGAATGGATGCGCCACAAAGACAACAACAACAGATTTGCCAAGAAAGGTTAGATGTGCAATATGTCCACGTGGTAAAGACAGAAAAACTAACTTTGGATGTTCTAAATGCTACAAACCATATTGTTTAGAGCACAGGGCTAAACTTTGCTGCCAAACTGAGTTTCATGGCTAAGAAATTTATTGAGGTGTATTTTCAATTTTCAACTTTTTTTATGTTCCATAATGACTTTTTAGACAATAAAAATGTATTTAGCTTTTTAAAAGTTTTTTGTTGCATCTTTATTGATTACCTTCAGTTAATGTGCAATTGTATAGTGATTTGTAATATTCTTTGTTCTAATACAATTAACGTTGAACCCAATGAACAAAATATTATTAAAATATTTTCTTCTACGAATTATCTGATGTATTTTGACATAAAAAGTAAAAATATAATAATGAGGGTACATAACATCCAACAAAAATACTTGGGTTTCTCAGACCCCAGTGTGCAGTTTATAGGCTAAAAAATAAGTGTGCAGTTCCAGGGTTAAAACCATACCTTATGAGACCATTTCCTTATAAGCAGACTTTAACAGACGTCAGAAAAGAGAAATACAATGTAAGACTTTGTCGAGCTAGAAGGGTCGTGGAAAATGCGTTTGGTATTTTGTCTCAAAAATGGCGAATATTTTACAGGCCATTAGAAACAAAAGTAGATACTACTATTCTAATTGTACGTGTTTTACACAATTTTTTACGAAGTAAAAGTGGCGATGACAAATATTTTCAATTCTTAGATCCCCCCCGTGCTTGGAGCTTTTACTGATATAGCAAATGATCCTCGGCGGGCAGCAAGGCTAGCATTTTCTACTCGTGACAAATTCGTAAATTATTTTAATTCTGATATGCCTATGCCCAATATACAGGGTTATCCAAACTAAGTGTCCACCATTAGTAACTTTGTTATTAGTGAAAATACAAAGTTGTTTGAATTAGCAAACTAGTAGCATTTTTAACGCTGGTAAAAATGAGAAATAAAAAAAAAAACAATTGAGAGTCGTTATTTTGATTTTTTTCAGTAAAATAACATTTTTTTAAATGGAAACCCCTGTATATTATATTTTTTTCTGTTAAAGCATCAAATTTTAAACAAAAAAGCTTACAATAACTTTTCTCCTAGGTTACAAATTGTTGAAGTTATGGCCTCCAATCTGAAACAATTAAATTGTATCGACAAACTTTATTTTCAACATCAACTTATAATCTTACAAAATACAATAACATTTTTTTTTAAAGAAGATGCTCGAAAACACCACCTTGTTCTTCAATACATTTTTGGGCACGTTTTTCAACTGCTCGAACTGTCTTAAGTATGGTCCTACCATCTATCTGGGTTATCTTTTCCCTAACTGCAGTCTTTAACGCGTCAAGGTTATGTACCTTCGCTTGTAAATTTGGTTCTTTAAGTAACCCCACAAGAAGTAATCAAGTGGGTTTAGATCTGGTGATCTGGGAGGCCACTGTATTGGGCCATTTGTTCCTATCCACTGATCATTAAAAGTAGTACTTAGAAAATGATCAGTACCTCTGGAGTTGTGGGCAGGTGCGCCATCTTGCTGAAAATGCAGATGATGTCTACTTATAAGATCCAATTCGTCTAAGAAATTAGTCAGAATTTCTGACATAAATTCCACATATCTTTCACCAGTTAGGGTTCCCTCATAAAAGAACGGGCCAACAATTTTTGAACCAATTATACCGCACCAAACGTTGAAACTGAAACGGACTTGTGGGCCTCTTGGATGTACTAACAAAAGATTTTCTCTTGACCAATAATGGTGGTTTTTTCTATTAAACATTCCAGAATTTGAAAAATTTGATTCATCTGTCCATAAAAGGTAACGAAAGTTATTTACATTTTGGCGACAGAAGCTAAGATACCAATGGCAAAAAACAAGTCTTCTCTCTGGATCCCCTGCCAAAAGCGTTTGAACTGGTCGGTACTTATACGGAATAAATTTGTATTTTTTTAAAATCCTTTGAACAGTACCATAACTGAAATTAGAGTCCTTGAGAATATCTGCTATTGAATTCTCACGATAAGCTTCAAAATATCCAATAACTGCAATTTCCGTGGCCTCGCTTATTATGAATTCTTTTTTTGCCCTTGTTTTAGCAAAAACATTTTCGTTGCCCCTAAATTTTCGATAAAGTCTCAGAAAATATCGTTCATACGGTTGAATGCGAGCGGGATATAATTCACTGTAGTATTCTCTTGTTCTCAAGGAGGATTTTCTGCACACTAAATAGCATTCTAACATATCACACTTTTCTTAATGGGAGAACATTTTTCTTTAAATTAATGACACAATAAAGCTTATAAACAAGTATTTACACTAATGTTTGACATTATTTGATTTTATCATTGTTTTCCAAAGCCTTCTAGTTGCGAGTATGTCCAGTTTAACAATTTGTCGCTTATCTTAATGCTGTCAAATCGCGAACGCCATGTTGTTTTCATAGCCGTCTTAATATTATAATACTGCAAATAATTAAAAATATTTATCGTTATTTTGACTTTATTTTTGACTTTAGCGGAAAAGTCATTATGAACTTTTTTGTTTAAAATTTGATGCTTTAACAGAAAAAAATATAATATACAGGGGTTTCCATTTAAAAAAATGTTATTTTACTGAAAAAAATCAAAATAACGACTCTCAATTGTTTTTTTTTATTTCTCATTTTTACCAGCGTTAAAAATGCTACTAGTTTGCTAATTCAAACAACTTTGTATTTTCACTAATAACAAAGTTACTAATGGTGGACACTTAATTTGGATAACCCTGTATAGAATGTTCGTTTTCGCATTTGTGTAGACTGTAAATTATTTAACAACTTAATAAAAAATATTAGGTACATACCATTTGTATTTAATTCTTTTCCTATTTCCATCCAAATCTTGTCTTTCTTTCTCACATTCCTGTATTCGTCGTTCGACAAATCATACAAACAAGGATACTTTTTCACTATTTCTATCAATAATTCCGTTTTTGCCATTGCGAATTTTTGAAGAACGTCGTCAAAAACGCGGTTAAAGGCGAACTGAAATACGCCGCGATAAACAATCGCATTAGCTTCGCACAAGTCTGAGCCTGTCCGTAAACCGCCGCGTTTTACTCTGATCGCGAATTCATCGCCGCGAAATTTTCGCAGCCAAAGCGAATATTTCGCGCCGGTTTGTGGGATGCTTTAACTCGCATTAAGATGAATTGTTTCGTGTAGTGTGAGAGCAAACCTCTTGGCGGTTTTAAATGGACAATGTGCGCATTCGTGTATTTTCCCGGTAACCGACGAGATGAAATCTGGATGTTTTCTTAGTATATGACCATGTAGCGATAATTTTCGTTTAAACGATTTATTGCAATGTTTGCATTTAATCAACTTTATACCAAGAACATCATCAGAATGCGTTAGCAAATGCCTAGTTTGCCCAGCCTTTTCGAAACTTCTATATGGGCAATGTGGACATTGATGTATTTTTTTTGTCACTGACACCATGAATTGTGGATGTTCGTTAAGTATGTGATTATCTAGCGTTACCTGCCGTTTAAACGATTTATTGCAATGTTCACAGTTAATCACCTTTATACCAGAAACAGCACCAGAATGCGTTATTAAATGCCTATTTAACGCACCCTTTTCGACATTTCTATATGGACAATACGGACATTGATGTATTTCGTTTGTCACTGAAGACATGAATTCTGGATGTTCCTTAAGTATGTGATTATCTAGCGTTACCTGCTTTTTAAACGATTTATTGCAATGTTCACATTTGATCACCTTTATACCACAAACAGTACGAGAATGCGTTATCGAATGCCTAGTTAGCCCAGCCTTTTCGACAGTTCTATATGGACAATACGGACATTGATGTATTTTTTTTGTCACTGACGACGTGAATTTTGGATGTTTCTTAAGTATATGATTATCTAGCGTTGCCTTCTGTTTAAACGTCTTATTGCAAGGTTTACATATGCTCAACTTTATACTAGAAACAGCATCAGGATGAGTTGTCAAATGCTTATTTAGAGGAGCTTTTATGACATTTTTATATGGACAATATGGGCATTGATGTATTTTACTTGTCACTGATGCCATGAATTCTGGATGTTCTCTAAGTGTGTGATTATCTAGCGTTTCTTTTTTTTTAAACGACTTATTGCAATGTGGACACGTTCTCATCTTTATACTAAAAACAGCATCAGGATGCGTTGTTAAATGCCTCTCTAGTCCGGCCTTTTTGACAGTTTTATATGGACAATTTGGGCATTCGTATATTCTTCGTTTAACACATTTAACAAACTCTGGGTGTTTTTTTAATATATGATCATTCAATGCTGTTCTTTCTCTAAAAGTCGCGTTGCAATGTGGACAGCTGAATTTGTAATTAGAAGCATCTTGATGTGTCAGTATGTGTCTGCTAAAATTACACTTCCACATAGTTTTATAATCACAAGCTTTACATTCGAATATTTTGCAAGAAAGTGACGAAATGATCTCTGGATGTTTTCTAACTAGATGACTATCTAAAGTGCTTTTTTTAGCGAATCCTTTACTACATTGTGTACAAACGTATAAATTTGCTGTGATTGAAGATTTTTTAATATCCGTTTTCAAATTGCAATGGCCCGATTTGATGTGTTCGATTAAAGTACGTTTGGTATGGGCTGTATAGCCACAATTATAGCATATGAATGATTCTCCCTTATCTGCTTCCATATCTCCAGCGCCTACTCCGTTTTCCCAGTATTTTCTTTGTCCCACACTGAAAAAGAATATCAACAATTACATTTTGGCCTTGTACCAAGCCTGAGCTTCTGAACAAGCAATATTCTTTTTGGATTAAAGGAACAACGATCCTTTCAAATAGTTTAATGTTGATGTAAAAATTAACACCTATACCAAGAACATAGGACCAAAATGCAGGTATTATTATTCTTAGTTATACTATACAGGGTGTTGCACAACTTATCCGACAAATTTTAAACACATATGCACTGTTACGAAAGAAGTTTTCTCAAAAGAAAAAAAATGTAATAAAAGTCCTACAGAAATTAAGTTATAAACCTATAATAAATTAAAAAATAAATATCTGTATTTTGCGTTCATCGTCGTGATATTAGAACAAGCATTAATAACACTGATCAACAGCCAAAAAATATCCTGAATAAAATCAACAAAATATTACTATTTTTAATGTGCTAAAACCGGAATGAAACTTATTTTTTCAATATTAGTTCAAGTTTTAGAGATACGGTAATTATATGTGTTCCTGCTGTGACAGTGTTAATATACTGTAATTCACAAGAATGCACGTGCTACATTTTTATATTCGGCAAGGAAAGATGATGTAATCGGCATGATTGTGTTACGTTATACATACGTGTACATTATATTGTTTTATATTAGTCATTTTTTCCTCCGTTGGCTGACAGCGTTCATGCAAGATGTCTCGAAAGTGTGTAAACAATCCAGATCAGTTTTGTTACGTGTGTGGTGATGTGACTTTTGCGTCTCAGAGACGGTCTATTACTCCAATAATAACAAAGGCATATCAGCTTTATTTCGGTTGTAAACTAGGTGATCAAGACAAACAGTCGGCACCCCACATCTGCTGTAATACATGTGCTTCAAGTCTGAGGAGCTGGTTAAATGGCAAAAAACGGTCTATGCGCTTTGCTGTCCCAATGGTTTAGAGAGAGCTTACAAATCATATTAATGATTGTTACTTTTGCATGGTACCTTGTGTTGGACAAGCCACAGGTATGTCCAAGAAAAAAAACCGGTTATTAACTACCCAAACATACCATCTGCGATGAGACCTGTGCCTCACAGTGACGAAAATCCTATTCCAAAACCCCCAGAATCCTACACTTGCGAATCAGAAAACGAATCAGATCATGGCGATCGAGCGATTCGTGAGGAAGAAGATATGCCATCAACGTCAAGAGATCCTGATTTTATACCGAGCACGTCATGCCACCAACCGCACAAAATAACACAGTCAGAATTGAATGATCTTGTAAGAGATTCAGAACTTCCAAAATGTAAGGCAGAGTTACTTGGATCAAGACTGCAGCAGTGGAACTTGTTAGAAGACGATGTTTCGGTATGTGTTTTTCGTAAACGCCATAAAGACTTAGAACCATTTTTCAATATGGAGAATAACTTGGTTTTCTGCAGTAACATTAACGGCTTACTGGCGGCTTTAAATATAAACTATAACCCAGAAGAATGGAGATTGTTTATAGACAGTTCAACATTGAGTTTAAAGGCAGTGTTATTGCATATTGGAAATATTTTACCATCTCTTCCTGTAGGGTATGCAGTTCACATGAAAGAATCATATGACAATATGAAGTACCTATTGACATGCATAAAATACGATGAGCACCAATGGCATATTTGTGGCGATTTGAAAGTTGTTGCACTTTTACTTGGGCTGCAGCTAGGCTACACAAAGTTTTGCTGTTTTTGTGTGAATGGGATAGTCGAGCAAAGGCACTTCATTACACCAGACAAAACTGGCCTGTTCGTCAATTCCTAGAGCCAGGTCAAAAAAATGTACAGCATATGCCATTAGTAGATTCGAAAAAAATTTAATACCACCACTGCATATCAAGTTGGGCCTAATGAAAAACTTTGTCAAGGCATTAGATAGAGATGGGTCAGCTTTTCAATACCTGCGTCAGAAATTTCCAAGACTAAGTGAGGCAAAGGTTAAAGAAGGTATTTTTGTTGGGCCAGAGATTCGAAATATTTTGAAAGATACACAGTTTGAAAACACTTTAACAGGTATTGAAAAAACTGCTTGGAATGATTTCCGTCTGGTGGTCACTAATTTCTTGGGAAATAGAAAAGCTGACAACTATAAAACCCTTGTCAAAAATATGCTGTCATCGTATCAAAAGATGGGCTGTAATATGTCTCTTAAGATACATTTCCTACACTCACACCTGGACTTTTTTCCTGACAATTGCGGAGCCGTAAGTGATGAGCACGGCGAACGTTTTCATCAGGATATTTCAACAATGGAAAAAGGTACCAGGGAAAGTGGAATCCTTCCATGCTTGCAGACTACTGTTGGACTCTTGGTAGAGATGCTCCAGAAACAATCCATAAAAGAACAGCAAAAAGACAGCGCATATAGTGATTCTTATAAGTATATGAATCTTGTTACTTTTTTTAATATATCCTTAAAAATAAAAAGTTTTTTTTCTAAGCCGCAACTAATTTTTTTATTTCATTGTCATTTTTGGATTCAGCGCCCCAAAATTAACAAAGAAGTGCACTTTTCCCACAAGATACAATTAAAAAACTAAAATTTGTTGTCCAGTGTTATCTGTGGTTTAGGATGGAGAGGACAACGTTTTTATTGCTTTGAAGAAATTCATTAACCCATAAATTAATGAATGGTTACTATTATGATGTAAAGGAAGATGAGGAATTGGTCGGGATGTATTTTATATTCTATTTTATTGCAAAATACAGACAAATCCACACTATTCAACAAGTATGTAGCTATTATGATAACATATAAACACTCAGTATATTGAACTTGACAAATTCGAGATTGTCAAACGTCCAAACCTTCTGTAAAACTTAACAGCTGGAAAATCGACCTATTATTTGCCGCATTCCCATTGGCTAAAGAGATAATCGACCTATTATCTGTAAATTGATAGTAGTAGTATTAAAATACATGAAATCTGTCCTGTTTTCTCTGTACAGATGCATCATGTTGGAATCAAAAAGCGGTCTTGATTACGATTTAATCGATTTTTCACGATTTTATTCGATATCTCAATAGAAATCACCGATATTCAGAGAGCTTTGACAGCTTCTGTCAAATTGCATTTCGATAAGGTATTTTCCCATTGGTCCAAACTGATTAACGATAGCGAAATCGGCACTTAAACTGTTATACAAATCTTGGATTTAATTAAAACAGTTTAGTGTTCGTTCGCGAATAATTTTACTTTTGTTGCTACATCTTGGTGTTGATAGTAGTTTTTAGCGTACGTAAAAGATATCAAATAAATTAACTCGCATTGAGATGAATTGTTTCGTGTAGTTTGAAAGCAATCCTCTTGATGGTTTTAAATTGACAATGTGCGCATTCGTGTATTTTCCCGGTAATCGACGAAATAAAATCAGGATGTTCTCTTACTATATGACCCTGTAGCGATGATTTTCGTTTAAACGATTTATTGCAATGTTTGCATTTAATCAACTTTATACCAGTAACAGCATCAGAATGCGTTATCAAATGCCTATTTAGCCCACCCTTTTCGACAGTTCTGTATGGACAATGTGGACATTGATGTATTTTGTTTGTCACTGAGGACATGAATTCTGGATGTTCCTTAAGTATGTGATTATCTAGCGTTGCCTTCTGTTTAAACGTCTTATTGCAAGGTTTACATATGCTCAACTTTATACTAGAAACAGCATCAGGATGGGTTGTCAAATGCTTATTTAGAGGAGCTTTTATGACATTTTTATATGGACAATATGGGCATTGATGTATTTTACTTGTCACTGATGCCATGAATTCTGGATGTTCTCTAAGTGTGTGATTATCTAGCGATATTTTTTGTTTAAACGACTTGTTGCAATGTGGACACGTTCTCAACTTTATGCTAGAAACAGCATCAGAATGCGTTATCAAATGCCTATTTAGCCCAGACTTTTCGAAAGTTCTATATGGGCAATGTGGACATTGATGAATTTTTTTTGTCACTGACACCATGAATTGTGGATGTTCGTTAAGTATGTGATTATCTAGCGTTACCTGCTTTTTAAACGATTTATTGCAATGTTCACATTTAATCACCTTTATACCAGAAACAGCACCAGAATGCGTTATCAAATGCCTATTTAGCCCACCCTTTTCGACAGTTCTATATGGACAATATGGACATTGATGTATTTTGTTTGTCACTGAGGACATGAATTCTGGATGTTCCTTAAGTATGTGATTATCTAGCGTTGCCTTCTGTTTAAACGTCTTATTGCAAGGTTTACACATTCTCAACATTATACTAGAAACAGCATCAGGATGAGTTGTCAAATGCTTATTTAGAGGAGCTTTCATGACATTTTTATATGGACAATATGGGCATTGATGTATTTTATTTGTCACTGATGCCATGAATTCTGGATGTTCTCTAAGTGTGTGATTATCTAGCAATACTTTTTTTTTAAACGACTTATTGCAATGTGGACACGTTCTCATCTTTATACTAGAAACAGCATCAGGATGCGTCGTCAAATGCATATCTAGTACAGTCTTTCTGTCAGTTTTATATGGACAATTTGGGCATTCGTATATACTTCGTTTAACAGATTTAACAAACTCTGGGTGTTTTTTTAATATATGATCATTCAATGCTTTTCTTTCTCTAAAAGTCGCGTTGCAATGTAGACAGCTAAGTCTGTAATTAGAAGCATCTTGATGTGTCAGTATATGTCTGCTAAAGTTACACTTCCAGACGGCTTTATAATCACAATCTTTACATTCGTATATTTTGCGAGAAAGTGACGGAATGATCTCTGGATGTTTTCTAACTACAGTAGAACTCCAATTATCCGAACTCCGACTATCTGAATCGCCGATTATCCGAATCACTTTAAATTTGTCCAAAGTCCGCGGCGTCAGTGTAGGCACAACAACACGTGGTATGAGTCCCCACTCCAGTTCCGGCACATTGCAGTCACGGCGCACCAATATAGTCAGTGTGCTATTGACCTTGCTCGAGGACGCTACTCTTTCGCTACGGCTTACAATACTATTGTACTGTATTGTTTTTCACCATGGCTTCGAAAAGAAAACGTGTTGTGCTATCGTTAGCGGACAAACTGAAAATTATAGAGCAACTCGATAAAGGTGTAACGGGTAAGAAGTTGTCTGAGATTTATGGTGTTGGACAAGCAACAATTTGTGACATTAAAAACAGTAAGTCAACACTTTTAAACTTTGTTTCGGTGCTTGAAAATGAAGATGGAAGTTCCTCCAGGAAAACAATGAAGACAGCAACCAACAAAAATTTGGAAGATGCCGTGTTTAAATGGTTTTTGCAGCAACGTTCTATGGGAAATCCGATTTCAGGTCCAATCCTTTGTGAAAAAGCCAAAATCTTAGCAGAAAAGCTTGGTTATTCATCTTTTAAGGCTAGTAACGGCTGGCTAAGGAACTTTAAATTCAGGCATGGTGTACGCGAGTTAGATTTGGCTGGTGAGAAGCTTTCAGCAGACTCTGCAGCTGCTGAAAATTTTATTGAAAAATTTAAAACTGCAGCAGAATCCTATGATCCGGAGTTTGTTTATAATGCCGATGAAACTGGCCTTGTTTGGAAAGCATTACCAAAAACCACTTTGGCTTCTAAAAGGGAATCTAGTGCCCCTGGACATAAGGTCAGTAAAGAACGTGTTACAGTGCTTAACTGTGCCAACTCCACTGGAAATCATAAACTACCACTTCTTTTGATAGGACAATCAAAAAATCCAAGAGCATTTAAAAACGTAAAAAAACTTCCACTCTTCTACAAAAGTCAACCCAAGGCCTGGATGACTGCAGCTTTGTTTACCGAATGGTATGATGAAGTGTTTATTCCTGAAGTGAAAAAGCACCAAAAATCGGTGGGAAAAGAAGGCAGTAAGGTGCTTTTAATTGTTGATAACGCACCCACTCATCCTACAGCAGAACTGTTGGAAAGAGAGAAAGGGCAGTTTAAAACGACGTTTTTGCCTCCCAATGTTACAAGTTTGCTGCAACCCATGGACCAGTCTGTTATTGAAACAATGAAGCGCCATTACAGAAGGCAACTGCTGAGAAAACTGCTGATCGAAGGTGCTGAAGATGAAGAATTGGTTTTGGCAAATCATAGCAAAATAAATTTAAAGGACTGCTGTTACATGGTAGCGGAAGCTTGGAGTTTGGTTACGGCAGTGACGCTAAGACGTGCGTGGAATAAACTGAAAGGCCTACCGTCTGAGAAGAACAAAAAAAAAGAATCTGAAGAAAATGAGAAACAAGAAAATGGAGAGGATGAAGATGATGAAGATGCGTTGTCACTAGAGGAAATAAGAAAAATGATTGTAAAAATTCCTGGTTGTACAGAAGTAAGTGCTGAAGATGTAGGAGAGTGGATGGCTTGTGACACGTCTGACCCTGGTTTTCAAATTCTCAATGACGATGAAATTGTTGAAAGTGTGAGAGAAGATGTTGAAGTGGAAGTGGGAGAAGAACTTTCTGCTGATGTTGAAGTAGACGCTGGACCATCAGCTAGTGAAGCATTTGCCGGCCTCGAGACTGCTTTGAAGTGGATGGAGCGTCAGCCCGAGTGTGACCACTTGCAACTGCTCACCGTCAAGCGAATGCGTGACCTGGCTGCCCGAAAACGGATGAAGAACGCAAAACAGCTTACATTGACGGAGATGTTTAAAAAACAATGATTTTTATTTCTAAACTTGTACATATGTATGTACGTACATACATTTTATGTATTTTATGTATGTATTTATATTTAAAACATGTGAAAATATCATGTTTCTTTCATTTAATTCAATAAAAAAAATAGTGCAATATCAAAACGTAGCATTTTTCTCTCCAATGGCAATTTTTAAAAAAAAAATCCGATTATCCGAATATTTGATTATCCGAATGGGTCCCGGTCCCCATTAATTCGGAAAATTGGAGTTCTACTGTAGATGACTGTCTAAAGTGCCTTTTTTAGCGAATCCTTTACTACATTTTGTACAAACGTATAAATTTGCTGTGATTGAAGATTTTTTAGTATCTGTTTTCAAATCGCAATTACCGACTTTGATGTGTTTGATTAAAGTACGTTTGATATGGGCTGTATAGCCACAATTATAGCATATGAATGATTCTCCCTTATCTGCTTCCATATCTCCAGCGCCTACTCCGTTTTCCCAGTATTTTCTTTGTCCCACACTGAAAAAGAATACCAACAATTACATTTTGGTCTTGGACTGAGCCTGAGCTATAAACAAAGAATATTCTTTTTTGTTTAAAGGAATTTCGATCGTTTCAAATAGTTTATTGTTGATGTTATAAAAATGAACACCCCTATACCCATATCGAGAACATGACCAAAATTCAGGTGGTGATTCTTCGTTAGACTATACAGGGTGTTTCACAACTTATCCGATAAATTTTAACCACATATGCACTGTTACGAAAGAAGTTGATTTCTCAAAAGAAAAATAACATAAAATAAAAGTCCTACAGAAATTAAGTTATATACCTGAGTTTCAATAATGGATTGAAAGATAAATATCTGTATTTTGCGTTCATCGTCGTGATATTAGAACACGCATCAATAATTTATTGTAGCAAATGTTGTACCAAACAACTCACGAAAACAAAATACCAGGAATTTTTTGTTTTTTCATACTGACAAGAACGTGTAAATAAGGTTTGATCTGTATCGTGGGTGATCTGAATGAAGAACGATCGATTTTTGTGAGGTTATTAAGAAAGTATTTTGTGAGTTTATGTTTTTAGTTATTTATTAACACGTTGAGTACAGATGTAGAGTGCATAAAATTGTGTCTCAGAGACGGGTAGTTTTTTGTGTTTCTTTCAGTCAAATAAAGTCTCTAATGTATAGTATACATTGTTTTATTTGCAAATACAGTGAAAGCTCTCCTTGCGGACAGCTCCTATAAGCGGACATCTCTTTTAACCGGACAAAGTTCCTGGAACCGAATTTCAGCCATCAATTTTCAATGTTAAATGCATTCCGATAAACGGACGCTCTTATAAACGGACGCGGACACTAGATTTTCCTGTATGTGATCAAAAAATCTCCCATAAACGGACGCGGACACTAGATTTTCCTGTATGTGATTTTTTAGTTCCGCTTATTGCAATGCACATATCTACATACATAAAATTCGGTAATTCCCCGATTTATATTAGGTGATGCCCCATTTACGCATTTCGTTGGGTAGCCTGTATGTAATCTTGTGGCTTGTCTTCAGTTCAGGCAAATTCGTAGTTGATTGAGTTACGTATTTTATTATTGTAACTGTAAAATGGCACCAAAAAAAAGGATGCTCTCGTTAAAGGAAAAGATGGAAGTTGTTAACGTATTCGACAGAGAAAGTGTTTCAGTTCGTCATTTGGCAAAGAGGTTTAATATTGGAAAAACGCAAGCAGCTGAAATTGCCAAAAATAAGGAAGATATCAGGAGTAAATGGCAATCAGGAACTAATATAAATCAAAAGAAGGATTTTTTAAAAAAGGAAGGTTTTGCTATAGACAAAACATGTTTTGAGTGGTTTGTGAAAGCTAGAAGTCAGAACATTCCAATCTCAGGGCCGTTAGTGAAAATGAAAGCTAAAGAAATCGCCACTACTTTGGGCTATAATAATTTCAGTGCGTCCGACGGGTGGCTGCAAAAGTGGCGCAAGAGACATAGTGTGAGTTTCAAATGCATATCTGGCGAAGCTGCTGCAGTAGATCAAGTTGATGTGTCTCAATTTTTGGAGAAACTTCCGTCCATGTTGCTTGGCTACAAACCAGAAGATGTGTACAACGCAGATGAGAGTGGACTTTTTTTTCGCGCATTGCCCGACAAAACTCTGTCCTTTAAAGGAGAAACATGTGTGGGTGGAAAGTTGTCTAAAGATAGACTAACCATTTTATTCTGTGCAAATATGGCCGGTGGAAAATGCGATTTGATTGTGATCGGGAAAGCGGCTCGTCCCCGTGCTTTAAAAAACGTTGCTATTAAGGATCTACCAGCGACTTGGAAATCCAACAAAAAGGCATGGATGACCCGAGAAATCATGTCTGAGTGGTTAGTCGAATTCGACCGGAAAATGAGAATCCAAAAAAGGCAAGTTCTTTTATTTTTAGACAATGCATGCTCTCATCCTCGTGATATGAAAATGAAAAATGTGAAAATTATATTTTTACCGCCAAACACAACTTCTGTTTGTCAGCCCATGGATCAAGGTGTCATACAGAACTTTAAATTTTATTATCGGCACTTGATTTTAAAACATATTTTAACAAAAATTGACGATGGTCAAAGCTTATCTGAGCTTACACTCTATCAATGTGTTAGAAGCTTTGTATTTTATAAAAACAGCATGGAATAAAGTAAATTCCTCTACAATTAAAAACTGTTTTGGCAAAGCTGGATTCAGAAAAAGTGAATGTAGCTCAGAATTTGCTGAGCAAAATTATTGCGATGCTGAAGACGATCTGCCCTTAGCGACACTTGCTCAGTTACTGCGACATGCCAAACATTTAGGAGTAGCAGATCCCCAGAAAGTAGATGATTTCCTGGCCATAGACAATAACATAACAACAGAAGAAAATGCCATTGGCAACTTTTCGAATTTGGATGTAGAAAGCCCAGGCCAACTTGAATATGGTAGTCCAAACGACTCAGAAGAAGAAGTGGAACTGGTGGACTCACTAAGCGGTTCAAAAACGATAAATTCATATGGGGAAGCTCTAAATCATATTTCTATATTGAAAAAATTTGCTAAAGATGATTTCACTGCATTTCAACATTTGAAAAATTTAGAAA